CTAAAGGTGGGTCCGCCCCTGCATAAGTGGCTAGCTCGAGGTCAATTTGCCATCCTGTAAAGCCTATAATCTCCATCATCTTCAAGCATTTAAAGGGGCGGCGCCCGTAACATTCTTGAGCTGTGAAATGTTGTTGAGGTCGCCTAACAACAGTTCGCAACTGCAATGTGAACATGTTTGATTAGTACGTATGCCTTAACACGAAAAAGTATATATACACTATGTAGAATTAATGTCATACATTTCTTTGTTTACAATATTTACTTGATGATGATAACAGATATTTACACTTGAATTTATGCATTAACAAAATGTGAACGTAACTATGTTATGTATTAACTTTCTAAAATTAGGTGAATGATGAGAATTCAGGCGATAGTCTTTTATCACATTTTACTTTTTAGGGAGTATTAGTTTCCACAAATAGAGGTTCTGTTCTATAATATATACAACATTTCAAACTAAAAATAAATAAAATCCTCAACATTAATAAAGCAAACACAAAATATACATTAAAAATAAAAATAGTACTAGTAATAATAATGCCTTGCCTTAATGGTGAGTTTTTGTAAAACAGGAGATGCATCAATCAAAGAGGCCCATCCAAAGAGGGTGAGATGAGATGATCCAAATGCTTCCAATTTTAAATGCTTAAGGTTTGTCAACGCAGGAGCGACTTTGACCCCTGTATTTATCTTCATTATTATACCAAACAATAGAAATAATTAGACTTGGACCGTACCCTATTTTTTGGAACTAAATAAATGTATATGAACTTACTACCTCTGTTACAGGTTATGTGCAACGATTTAACATAAAGCAGAGAGGGAAAATATCTAATCGTTGCACATGACCTGTAACGGAGGTAGTATATGAATTGAATACAGTAAAAAAAAAAAAAAAAAAAACTAATTGAATAAATTAAAAAATTGACAATACTAACCTTATCTGACAGATGCATATTGAGGCATAGGTACGTGAATTGTGAAAAATATTTGGAAAGGGAGTGAAAAGCATACATAGGTGTTGTAATATATTGGATGAAGCCACCAATAGTTAGATGAGAAAGCGAAAGAGCATTTCTTATATGCACCTCAAATGGGTTGCCACCATATATAAATGACACAAGCTTAGGAGCACATATATCCATAATTGTCAAATCACAATACACTATCTCCAATTTTTTGAGTTGTAGTGCTAATGAACTTGGAAGTCTTAGATGGGTAAATTATTCAATTGATTCAAGGCACAAGTTCTCAAGAAAAGGACAATATTGAAGAAACCTTTCAATCACTTTTGAATCTACTTTAATATACTTGAGACACAAATTGGTTAAATTATGAGGAGGTGTAATAAAGTTTCCTATGGTGCAATTTAGGGCTTGGCGAGGTGTATCATTTAGCTCAATCACCGGAGTGAAATCTAGCTCAAGCACTCTTAACTTTTTTCGTTATTGCGAAATTAAGCCACTTATCAAGATCAGATTGGAAGTCATTGTTAATATCAAAAGTGATTTTGAGCCCATATATAGATGAGCCTTGATGGAGCTCCAAAACACGATTGATCCAGTTCGCAACATGACATCTTTCTTCATCAACGAGTTTAGAATTATTAGAAATCCTTAGCATTGCACTTGAATCATCAAAATTTAATCTAGGGAAATGCCTCACAGGTAATTCAAACGACGCGAAGCAACACTAAGCCTTGCAACTTCCTTCATTGTAAAGCTAGACAATAACGCCAATGCACCATCATCCGGCAACTCACTCATTCGATCAATTATTGCTTCATCACTAGCCATATGTGCCCTGTTAACCAACCAACTTAACTATTAATCCTCAATATACTTTATACTTCCCGTATCAAATATCAATATACTTTATACTAACTATATAATTATTCACGCAAACAGAAAAACACTAATTAAAATATATATAGAGTTTACAATATATACTAGTCCTAATCACGTTAACAAACCTAATACAATAAGGATACAAAATATACACAAAACTTATCCTAATCTGCGACAAATATTATCCTAAATATATTATTGTCAAATTCAATTAAACGGCTCAACCTTCTCATTCACATGTAAGGAGTATATATAGTTACAAGAGATATTCTAACCCTAACAATAATAGGAATAAGATAAATACTAACATAATTAGGAAACTAAAGATATTATACAATCTTTCCTAATTATTATCTTAACATCCCCCCTCAAGATGGAACATGTAGATCTCGAATGCCCATCTTGTCAAGTAATAGTTCAAATTGCGCCTTCCCTAAGGCTTTTGTAAAAATATCCGCCAATTGAATCTTCGTAGAAACATACGATGGCTTAATCACTCCTTCTTTAATGGCATCTCTAATAAAATGACAATCTACCTCAATGTGTTTTGTCCTCTCATGAAACACTGGATTATTTGCGATATGAAGCGCCGATTGACTATCACAATACATGTTCATACCTTGTTTATGTTCTACACCCAAGGATCGAAGTATTTGTTTCAAGTGTTTCAACTCACATGTCAACATAGTCATGGACCTATACTCGGCATCTGTGGAACTAGTAGCTACCGTTGGTTGCTTCTTAGTCTTCCAAGACACAGGAGATAACCCAAGAAGGACAAACCAACCTGTCAACGATCTACGAGACAAAGGACAAATCGCCCAATCCGAATCACACCACCCTTCCAACTGAAGACTACTATCCGACCTCAAGAGAATACCTTGACCTGGACACTTCTTCAAATATCTGACCACTCTCAAAGCTGCCTCCAAGTGTTCCTCTTTGGGGCATTGCATAAATTGAGACAAAATATGCACCGAATACGCTAAATCCGGCCTTGTGACTGCCAAGTAAATCAGACGACCAATCAATCGCCTATATTGTTCAACATCTGCAAACTCCTTCCCTTCCGCGAGAGCAAGTTTATGATTTTGTTGCATCGGAAAATCTGCCGGCTTAGCTCCTAGTAGCCCTGTCTCAGAAATAATATCTATAGCATACTTGCGCTGACATACATAGAAACCGTGCTTGCTACGTGCCACTTCTAGCCCTAAAAAATATTTTACGGCTCCTAAATCTTTCATTTTAAAGCATTCACTCAAATATGCCTTAAAATTCTTCAATGCAATTGTATTATTTCCTGCAATTATCATGTCATCCACATAAATCAAGACACTCAACTGTAATCCACCCTTCGAAAAAGTGAATAGAGAATAGTCAGAATATGACTGTTTAAACCCATATTTCTTCAACGCCTTGGACAATTTTTCAAACCAACACCTCGGTGCCTGTTTCAAACCATACAAAGATTTATCCATCTTGCACACTTTTTCGGAATTGTTTTTCTGAAACCCCGGTGGAACTTTCATATAAATCTCTTCTTCTAAATCACCATGTAAGAAAGCGTTATGCACATCCATTTGATGTACATCCCAGTTTTTAATCGCGGCAACTGCTAGAAAAGTACGTACCGTTGACATTTTTGCTACAGGTGCGAACGTTTCATTATAGTCAATGCCTTCCTCCTGATGATTGCCAAGGATCACCAATCTTGCTTTCAAACGCAACAAATTTCCTGCCTCATCTCTCTTCTCGGTATAAACCCACTTACTTCCAAGTGCCTTCTTCCCCACCGGAAGATCTTCAAGTGTCCAAGTCCCCTGATCCTCGAGAGCCTTATTTCCAAGGCCATAGCCTCTCTCCAACCTTCATGTTGCATTGCTTCTTTGAAAGATCTCGGAATTTCTTGCCTCTGTCACTGCAGCAATATAATTTCTGTGTTTTTTGGAAAAGCAATCATAATTCACAAAATATGTTATAGGATAAGGAGTACCTGACGAGGATGATGTCGCGGGTGTAGGTGGACTTTTACTTTTCCAAATAGTGTGAGTAACACAATCACGCAATTTTGTCGAAGGAATTTTTACTCTCTTTCCCCGACCCAATTCTTCTTCACCGGAAACCACCCCTGAACTGCTGCTGCTGTACACCGTCGGACCCCGTAGCCTGACCACTCGGGGCTGTAACAGAAGCTCCCCGAGCTGCGGCATCTTGGGGCTGCTGGTCCAGCGAGCTGCCAGCACCTGCTGATGGTGTTGCCTGGCCAGCGCTCGCTGGTTTTCCAGCGCCCAGAGCAGAGGCAGCAGCTCTGCTGTCTCGTGGGCTGCCAGCGTCCGCTGGGTTTCCAGCGCCCAGATCAGACGCTGCTGCCCTGCCATCCTGCGGGCTGCCAGCGTACGCTGGTTCTGGCAGTGGTTGGTTAGCTGCGTGTGGCTGCCGTGCTACATTCGGCTGGCCAGCCACCTCCCTCGCACTCATCGCACCTCCCTTATCCGCTAATGCACCACTATGCCATGCCAAAAATTTATCCTCTTCATCATCGTATCCAAACTCCAAGTCACCAAACACACTCGAAGCCTTTAAGTGATCACTAGTGTCTGTCAAATTATCCTTAAAAGGAAACACACGTTCATGGAATTTCACATCCCGTGAAACAAAATACTCACGAGATTCCAAATCAAACAATTGCCTCCCTTTCTTCCCAAAAGGGTAACCCAAGAAAACACATTTTCTACTCCGCGACTCAAATTTATCTCCTTTACTTCGTTGATTATGTGCATAACACAAACATCCAAACACTCTCATAAGCTCATATGGGAGAATTTTACCAAACAACATCTCATATGGAGTTTTATTTTGAATCACATAACTAGGGGTTCGATTAATCAAATAACATGTTGTCAACACACATTCACCCCAAAATTTTATAGGAAGTTGTCCTTGAAAACGCAAAGCCCGAGCCACATTAAGAATATGTTGATGTTTCCTCTCTACTCTCCCATTTTGTTGAGGTGTTCCCACACAAGATGATTAAAAAATAATACCATTTTGAACAAAATAATCTTGAAGGTGATTGAATTTAGTACCATTATCACTTCTAACAACCTTTATATCTCTATTAAATTGTCGTTTAATCAAGGCAATAAAATTGAGAAAGGTAATTTCAACTTCAGTTTTATTTCGAATCAAATAAACCCAAACAGCTTTAGAAAAATCATCCACTATTGTCAAAAACAATTTAGCACCACAAGACGATGCTACCTTGTACGGACCCCATAAATCAATGTGAACTAAATCAAACAAACCACTAGCTTTATTCTCACTAACAGGAAAACTATCTCTAGATTGTTTTGCCCGAGGGCATACATCACACACATCATTATTATTTCTAATAGAGTTACTCACAGGTGGAAGTAACTTTAGACTTTCTCCACCGGATGACCTATTCGTTGATGCCAAAGATTCACCACACAATCCACTGCGAGAACCTTCACATGCGGCACACCTCGGAAAAAGTAAAGTCCATCTTGTCGTTCACCCACGCCAATCACCGTCCTCGTCAACTGCCCGTTCAAAACGTGGGAAAAAGAAATGCCTAAAGTAGGTCCCGTCCTGAATAACACAAATTTTGTTAGTGAATTGAATTATACATCGGTTTTCATCACTAAGTTGAGTTACAGAAATTAAATTGCAATTTAAGTGGGGAACAAATAACACATTATCAAGCACCAAACCACCCTCTAGGGTGATCGAACCCAATTGATTCGTATTCACCGTTTGACCATCCGGTAAACCCATTGGACAATTTTGTATGGTCTTGATATTTCTCATGATGGACAAATCATTAGTAACATGATTAGAAGCTCCTGTATCCACAATCCACAATACGCTTGTATTACCTTCCAATCGTGACTTGGTTTTGCTCAAAATATCGATGATTTGTTGGGCTTGCTCCATCTAAACTCCCGCAAGTCCTTGAACAAGATTAGTGCTTGATGAAAAGCTACTACCGGAGTTAGTTGCACCCCTCCTTGCACCGCATTGGCCCGTGCCGATGTAGGAGCAGCATTAGATGAGTTCCCTTGCTCCCCCACATATCCACGACCTCCTTTACCACCACGATTGGTAGAGCCACCACGGCCACGGCCTCTTCCACCTTTTCGATTGTCATCCCAACCCGGCGGAAAACCAATAATCTGATAACACCCCTTCTTGTCATGGCCCACACGGTTGCAATGAGTACAAAATGGCCGGTCTCCATCTCCCGAATCACTCCTAGCCCGGGAATCGACCTTGAATGCCATCACATTCTCCTTTGGATTATTATCACGACCTCGTAATCTCTCGGTATTAATCACTGTTTGATATGCACTATTGTGCTCGAATTGACTCATATGGATCATCTAAGCCAATCAAAAAATAATGCAAGTAGTCCTCTTCACGAATATCTCCAACTTGCTTTGCTATATTGCATTTGCAACCACCACATGAACACTTTGGAACACGACAAAATTGAACCAATTCTTTCCATATCTTTGATAATCTACCAAAATAATCTGTCACCGTCTCGGAGGGCGATTGTTTACACACTCCCAATTCTTGCTTGAGTTGACACACACGTGTCCCACTCACCACACAATAACGCTGCTGTAAGTGCTTCCATAATTCACTCACAACATCATAATCTTCTATCGTCGACCGAAGGCCATCATCAAGAGTATTATGTATCCAAGATACCAACATGGAATTCACGGCTATCCAATGTTTGTATTTGGATGAATCAGCTGCTGGTTCCTTAATTGAACCATCTACAAAACCAAACTTCCACTTCGCAATTAAAGACCGACGCACGGCTTTGGACCACTCATCATAGTTCGATCCTTGTAGCTTAATCGGTGTTATCACGATACCCGGATGATCGCTTGAGCCAAGGTAATACTCGTGATTAACCGGTGGTGGTGGCGGTGGTGTTTCATCATCCTTCGCCATCTCTGTAATTTGCGGAAAAATTGAAAAAAAAAAAAAATTCGGAACCTAAGCTCTTGATACATGTCAAATTCAATTAAACGGCTCAACCTTCTCATTCACATGTAAGGAGTATATATAGTTACAAGAGATATTCTAACCCTAACTATAATAGGAATAAGATAAATACTAACATAATTAGGAAACTAAAGATATTATACAATCTTTCCTAATTATTATCTTAACAATTATCTATCAATTCTAATAATCAAATATATTGTAACAAATCTTCTATATTCCCTTGCGTCTTCAATTGTGAAACTATAAAATGTATTACTCATGGCCATACTAACACAAAGAGCATGACAAAAAAAAAACTATTTAATGGACATATTTGATGAAAAATTGAAAGTTGAATCTTTAATAGCATAATGAATCCTTAAAATTCAAGTATAATCCATAAAAAATAACTAATATAAACTCGTTTTGAAGGAGTAGAAATAAACGATGCAATGTAAAGATTTATAATTGTAAAATTAAAAAGGGAAATTAAAATTAACTTTGATAATAATATATAAAAAAAACTATTGTAAATCATGTAATTGCTACAAAATTGAAGGAGACCGAGAGCTTACCAAAATATACACGTACACTATCGAATTAGTCGACTGATAACGATCTCTCCTTTCTCTCTTTTGTTAATAATATGTTAGTTTTAGTCTATTAGACTTAATCAATGTAGTATATGTTTCGGATGAAAACAATCGGATCTCGGAAGATCCTTTTATCTTGAGGGAACTTGGTCTCGGTCCGAACGACGCAGGAGCCGAGGGTTTCCTGCACAACAAATACACGTAAACTAGCCTCGGGGGGGACGCCGAGGAAGGCCCCTCCGATGCTTAAGTCAGTATATTAGAGAGAGAAAGCTGTGCAAGAGTTTAGTTGCTTGAGGCTTTTTTGTCTTTGTCTTCGTCTTTGTCTTTGTCTTACCAAGAATTGACCAAATTGTTGGCTTTTATACCTTGGCTAATGAAGGAGGCGGATTGGGCCCGGAAATCAGTTGGGCTGGGCCAAGCTGATTGGGCCGTTGACTGACCTTGACATGGCTTTGAGGATGTTGATTTTTGACTTTAGCATATTTGGAGAGTTGAACCTTTGCCTTGGGCTTTTAATTGGATCATTCAGTGACCAGGCCCAATTGGACTAAATTGGACCCAAACAACTTGCCCCCCAGACCCGATTTGGAAGGATGACGGGTCGGGTTTGATTTAACCAGAAAAGGAGGGAAGTGAATGATTTGCTGATCCAAAAATGTGAATTTAAACCGTAATTAACCCATGATTAATGAGATAACAACAGTTAATGTGGATGATTGCGGAAGTTGGACGGGTAGTGGGCGATTTAACTGCAAGGTTGTGTGTTTAACGGTTACTTAGTGGGGTGCTTGAGAGAAATTGAAACGCAGACTCCTTGAATTCCCATTTCTGGAGATATAAATAGAGGCGCGTCTTCTCTCCCCACTCACTCATCAACACAAACCCAGAATTCTCAAGAACGCTCAAGAGCCCGCATCAAAACTTCGCAAATTCCCCGAGCATTAAGCTTAGAAGCTGAGACTTGTCACTACCAATTCGTAAATCGGCGGCTTTTGCTTCAGATCAAGGTAAATTCCTTTGATTTTATTTCATCTTTCTTCGACTTTGCACTCTTTCCCCTTTTTCGACTTTTTCCTTCGAAATTCGTCAATGGTGAGGGGAGTTAGAGGTGGAGCCCGTGCTCCAAGAAGAGCAAGGCTAATCCCCGATCCCAGGGTCAGGATTGGGACCTGGAATGGACGAAGGACAGAGTCTGACCCTGCTGAAGGGGTTAGGGCGACTCCCATTTCTTCGGCTCCTCCTCAGAGGGCTGAGGGGGTGAGAGCTTCAGGACGGGATGATGAAGTTCCCGCTGTCCTTTGGGATATCCTCCCAGGGTTTTCAGAGTGGGAGGATGCCGAAGTAGCTTCGGCCATGATAAAGAACCGTCCCTACTCATGGTGGGTAGAGAACGCCGATCAATATCGATTTGCTGAGCAAATTGAGTTGCACTACGGCATTTTTGAAGCTGATGGATATTGGTGCCGAATGCCCTCAGCATCCGATAGAATCCATCGTCCACCCCCGGGGTATGTGGGGGTGTACACGAGACAGCTTCAGTATGGGCTGAGGTTCCCTTTGGACGTATTCGTCCGAGACTTGCTGATCCATTACAACATTTCCCTGTGCCAGCTGACCCCCACCAGCATCCGAAGGGTAATGACGTACTTATGGGTCTGCAAATTCTTCAGATACGTGCCGAACCTGCACTGCTTCAGAAAGCTCCATCGGCTAGTGCCAAATATTCAGAGTGGGCACGGAAGCCATGGTTCTGGGTGGTATCGGATTGAGTCTCGGCCCCCGTTCCTAACCATGTGGCCGAACGACTCTTCAGACAAGGACTGGAGAGGTCAATGGATTTGGGTTAGGGCGCCCACGGAGCCGAGCCATCCTTATGTTTTCAGCGCTCCCCGGTATCTTGCCGAGCCGGATCCTGATATGGGAAGTTTAGGTCCTCCCGAAGATAGCGGGCCAGACCCGAACCTTAATCAGCAGAACATCTTCGGCAAGCTGCCGAACCGGGGAGGCAGCGGCCGAATGCAGCATATCCCGGAGACTTGGCTCCCCGATACGCACTATGTTTTCCAAGAGAATATGCTGGCAGCTGTCGGCCTCAGCCGAAAGTTTAGGGATGGTAATCTTCTTCGGCTGGGGCCGAGGCCTTTTAATTATCTCTTTTCTTCTTTCATTTTGCTTTCTTGTGATGTGCCGAACTAACTGAATTGACTTCTCCCCTTTTCTTTTTCAGAACGGGACGAGACCAACATCGGCATTGATTACGCTCGCCTTGGCGTCAACCGAGAACGAGTCGTAACTGATCGGGCTCCCCCTATCACTGAACCAAGGCGCCGAGAGGTTCACCTAGACTCTTCCCACTTCCAAATTGAGGCTGTTGCTCTGTATCAGAGGCAGAAGCCTTGGTGGAAGAAGAGGGATCCCTTGTTTCAGCTGCTGGAAGAAGAAGCTGAAGCTGCCCGTACAGCCGAAGAGGTTGCACGGGTTATTGAAGCTTGTGAAGGAGGAGAAGGGTCCTCCAGAGCTGCTGAAGCCGAAGCTGCAGCTAGAGCAGCTGAAGAAGACGAGGCTTTGCTGAAGACCTCGGTGAGTTTTTAGACAACTTTTTTCTTTTTTTTTTTTTTTTTTTTACTCACACTCTTCTTCCCCCCTGTCTGTTACAGTCTGAAGAGAGTAACAGACACAGAGAAGGCAAAGCTCCTGTTCGTCCCGAAGATCAAATACAAGAGTCTTCAGACTCAGATATGGACGAGCAGCCCCTTCTGAAAAGGCGCCGAAGGATGGCTATCATCGGCCCTCATGATTTTCAGCAGAGGCCGATGACCATCGGCGTCGCAATAAGGGAACCTGAGGAAGGCAATGGATCGCCGAGGGTTCCCCAGCCAACACCCCAATCTCCTCAAAAGACCCCTCCACCACCTCCTGAGATGGAGGTGGATCAGAGAACTCCCGGACCTAAGGGAGGGGTCCAAGAAGAAATCAAGGAGAGTGCTGCTGAGCACGGAAATAAAGATGCCGTGATGTCAAGTGCTGAAGGCTTCACGGCAGATATCGCAAGAGAGGTTGAGGCTTTCGTCCTCACCCCTGAAGAAGAGGAGGTCATAGTACTTGACTCCTCTGAGAAGGACGATGCTGAGACAACCAAAGCTAATCAAGCTCCATCGTCGTCCTTCCCTTCTTTCCAGACTCTGCATTCTGGAGAAATGGGTTTCTCGGCCCCCCGAATTCCAATCCCAGATCACATCTGGGACCTCATATGGGGTCAAAACCGAGAAGGAGCTGCAGCCTACTTCGGCAATTTTGCTGGCATGTCCGAAGTAGACAGGGCAAGGATCTGGTCGCTGAAGGCCACTGCTGGGATGGGCGAATCCAGTAGATCAGTTCCTGACCCAGCCAGGTCTAACCAACTGCTGATGATGCAGGTAATTTTCCTTGCCTTGATTTCTTTCTGAACTCAACCTTTCAGCTATTATTTTTTACTTTTTTAACTTGTGCCCCTGTTTTCAGTTCGTGCACAATCAGACTCTCACTGTAGAGCTGATAGATTCCCTACAAGATAGGGTGGACGCTGCCGAGCACGATCAAAGGGTAGCCGAGGAAGAGCTAAAGCTTGCTAAGCTGAAGCAGGCAGCAGCTGAAGAGAAGCAGCAGGAGGTTGAGGAGTACGGTAAAAAAGCTGCCGAAGCTCTGAAAACCTTCTGTGATGCTATGGAGATGGAGGTTTTTCCCCCACTGATGGAAGGGGAAAAATTCCTCCAAGAGCACCTGGGGGTGGACATCTCCAAGTTCAAGGCTGCTATCGAGAGCCGAATCCAAGGAGCTGCTGCACAGGCTGAGGTGCAGCATCAGCTAGAATCTCTTGAAGCCAGCAGAATGGCTGCTGAAGAGATGCTCCAAGCTAGGGATGTCCAACTCTCAAGGGCTGCTGCTGCTGCTGAAGCTCAAAGAGCTAAGCTACAAGAGGCTGAGGATCAGCTCACTGCCAAGAAGGAAGAAATGGTCCAAGTTCAGGCCGAGGCTTCCCAGGTTCAGCAAGAGTTTACCGAGCTGAAAGGCTCCTCCTCCAAGCTCGTCGATGAGCTGAAGAGATCCGAGGAAGACTTGGAGGAGACGAAGAAGAAGTTGGCCGATGCTGAGGCTCTACTCAAAGTCCGTATCTATACCCAAGAAGAGTATGAAATGGGTTTTAGAAACGGGTTCAGAGTGTGCCGGAGGGTCTGCCTTCATGCTGAGCCGAAGCTGGACTGGTCCAAATGTGCTGAATGGGTCCAAGATCCCGAAGACCCTCACATGAAGTATGCCACTCCAATCGAAGCTGAAATCCTTAAGGCTGAGGAAGCCGAGGAAGAAGCTGAGAGGATGGAGTTGGAGGCTGAGCAGAGGGAAAGGGAGGCTCGGCAGAGTGCAAAGCCTGCTTCTTCTGCTGCTGGAGCTGAGACCACCATTGGGCCCAATGAAGCTGATCAGTCTGATCCTCAGGCTGAAGCATAGGAACTCGGGCAGTCGTCTTCAGAATCTTGCGGTTCATCATGCGCTCAACTTTAGACTTGCCGCTTTCTGAATTTTTGCCTTTTGTTTTTTTTTGCTTCAGCTTGCCTTATCGTACAACAGCTTATTATATTTTTATTTTGCCTGTACGTATTTCGGCAGCTGTTACTTTCCGCTTGTGGGCGGCTGCCGACTATTTTTGTAATTCAACATTTTTATTTCAAAGAAGTTCACTTTCTCAGCTTTCTTGTGTATTTTTTTTTTCTTCGCTTTACCAGTCTTCGCACTTTACTGCTTTCTTTGAATGATCTTTCAAATATTTGCTAAGTGCAGAACTTCGGCTAGCGAGAATCATTTCTGCTGAGACTTCTTTTTGCCGTTTGTACTCGGATGTTTTCAACTTGTGAAAAAAACTGACATAAGTATCAAACTTCGGCTGAGCTGAAGGGTATTAGATCAGTTGTGCCATTTCTCTATTTCCCTCTGCCCCCCCAGAAATCTGAAGATGAGGTCTTCTGAATTCTGGAATGGCTGATAATTTTTCTCGGCTAAGCCGAGGATCTTTGAACACTTTGCTTTATTTTCTACATCTGTTTTTAAAGTACTGATTTCCCACCTGAGAGTTTTCACTCTAGAGATGGTACTCTTGTGACACTTTCTTCAATTCATCCAAGGGAACAACTATCCGAAACACCATGCCGGGGCAGCAGTTTATCTGAAGTACGAGGCATCATCATGCAATACTTCAGAGTTGCAACTACCACCCGGAACTGATTCATCCGAAGTACAAGGCATCACTATGCAATACTTCGGGGCTTTATCAGTTCCTATTTTTTAGGCTATGTTTCGGATAAGTCTATGGCCTTTTTGCCCAAAGGAACAGATTCTCCGAAGTACAAGGCATCACTATGCAATACTTCGGGCTTGTATCCTTTTTTGGCAGGTTTTACGGCTTGCCGAGGTACAAGGCATCATTATGCAATACCCCGGACAGCGCCGAATGAAACCTTGAATTTTTGAAAAACCGTAGAAAGCATAAAGACTTAAAGAATACACGCAATCTGAATGAATACTGGCTCGATGGCCTTTTTACAAACAAAATCAGTGTACTTACATGGATTGTACTATCCGAAGGATTTACACATAGTATTTTTTGAGCACATCGGCATTCCAATGGTTTTTCAGCTCGGTGCCATCCATTTGTTTGAGTCTGAAGGTACCGGGCTGAAGCTCTTGATAAATTTCATAAGGTCCCTCCCAAGATGCTGAGAGTTTGCCATGAATGCGACTTTTTTGAACAGCTGCAGCATTCCTCAGAACTAAATCCCCAACTCTGAGAGGTCGTTGATAGACTCTTCGGTTGTAGGACTTGCTCATTCTGAGCTTGTGTGCAGCCATCCTTTCTCGGGCTAGATCTCTAATCTCGTCAAGGAAGTCGAGGGACTCTTTCATGAGCTGCTCATTTTCCTCGGCTGAGAAGAGATTCACTCGTAGGCTTTCTGAGCCCACTTCCACTGGAAGCACTGCTTCGGATCCATACACCAGCTGAAAAGGTGAATGCCCCGTTGCCTCCTTCTCGGTTGTCCGGAGTGACCAGAGGGTTCCCGGAAGTTCCTCTACCCACTTGGACTTTTGATCCTCTACTCTTTTTCTGAGAGCGTTAAGGATCTGTTTATTTGCGGCTTCGGCTTGGCCATTACTCTGAGGGTGGCAAACCGCGGAGTAAGCCAATTTTATCCCGAACTGATCAGTGTATCGGCGCAAGGGCAGGTTGTCAAACTGTCTGCCGTGGTCGAACACAAAAACTTTTGGGATGCCGAACCGAGTTATTATGTTCTGCCAGATGAACTGTCTGACAGTTTGCTCAGATATGCTTGAAGCAGCTTCCGCTTCAATCCATTTGCTGAAATAGTCGATTCCGACTATCAGCCACTTTCTTTTGTATGGGGCCTCGGGAAAGGGTCCCAGAATATCCAACCCCCATTGTGCAAATGGAAGAGGATTAAGAATTGGCTGGAGATCTAGGCATGGCCGATGGATTACCGGTGCAAATTTTTGGCATTTCTCGCATTTTCTGACCATGTTCTTTGCATCCGAGATCATTGTAGGCCAAAAATACCCTGCCCTGAGAGCTTTGTGGGCTAAGGTTCTCCCTCCTATGTGGTTTCCGCAGATGCCGAGGTGAATCTCTCGGAGAATATAGTCGGCATCCGTTGGACCCACGCATTTCAATAATGGAGCGGAGAAGGATTTTCTGAGGAGTTGGCCGCCGAAGACGAGGAATCGTGAACTGATCCGCTTTATTTTGGAGGCCGAATTCCTATCCTCGGGGAGCTCGTTCCTGAGTTTATAAGCCAGGATGTCATCCATCCAGCTCGGCTCGAGTGCAGCGCAGCAGATTGATATTGCTTCGGCTACACTCTTTTCTCGGCGCACCTCCACATAGACAGAACGGCTTAACTCAGTCAGAGTTGAGCTTGCAAGTTTGGAGAGTGCGTCCGCTTGAGCATTTTGACCCCTTGGGATCAGCTCTACTTCGAAAGATCTCAGCTTCGCAATTGTCGATTTGATCCTTGTGAGGTAAGCTGCCATTGAAGGCTCTTTAGCCTCATACTCCCCCCGGATCTGATTGGCGACCAGCTGAGAATCTGTCTTGAGGTAGACATGCTCGGCTTCCAACGATATGCACAGGTCTAAGCCAGCAATGGCTGCTTCATATTCGGCCTCGTTGTTAGAGGCTTTGAATGAAAATTTTAGTGCATACTCGAAGGTTTTGCCTTCGGGAGAGGTAATGACGACCCCTGCCCCCGAACCGTTCACGGTGGAGGACCCATCCGTGAAGACGGTCCAGATTTTCCTCCTTGCATCCAGAGTCTCCTGATAGGAGCACTCGGCCAAGAAGTCTGCCAAGGCTTGCGCCTTGATGGCTGTTCTCGGCTGATAACCGATACTGAACTCGGTGAGCTCGAAAGCCCACTTTGCTAGTCTACCGGATTTTTCAACCTTGCCGAGGACTTTCTCTAACGGCTGATCAGTTAGAACCGCTATTTGATGAGAATCAAAATAGGGTCGCAACTTCCGAGCAGCCACCACCACTGCATAAGCCACTTTTTCTAACAATGGGTAGCGCGTCTCGGCATCCGTCAGGGTGTGGCTGACGAAATAGATCGGCTGTTGAATTTTTTCTTCTTCCCTTAGCAGCACCGCGCTTACCGTGGCTGGACTGACCGCCACGTATAAGTATAGGATGTCTCCTACGACTGGCCTTGCCAGTGTTGGGAGTTGAGCCAGGTGTTCACGGAGCTGCTGAAAGGCTGACTTTTGTTCGTCTCCCCATTCAATGCCTTTTGAATTTTGGAGCTTCAGCGCCTTGAAGAAAGGGAGCCCTTTGTCTGAGGCTCGTGAGATGAACCTGGACAAGGCAGCCATTCTCCCGGCTAGACGCTGAATATCCCTTTTTGTCTTCGGCTCGGGGAGGTCTAAAGCAGCTTGCACTTTGGCGGGGTTTGCATCAATCCCCCTCTTGCTGACCATGAAGCCGAGGAACTTGCCTGACTTCACGCCGAAGACACATTTCTTCGGATTCAGCTTCATTTTGTATTTTCTGAGGGTGGCGAAGGTTTCGGCTAGGTCCGTGACATGATCTTTTTCTTTTATGTTTTTGACGATTGAGTCGTCAACATAAACCTCCATGTTTCGGCCTTTTTGCTCGGCGAAAACCTGATCAACCAACCTCTGATATGTTGCCCCCGCATTTTTCAATCCGAAGGGCATCATTCTGTAATTGTACAACCCGGAACTTGTTATGAACTTGTTATCTTGGGAGGGACCTTATGAAATTTCCCCACAGACGGCGCCAAATTGTTTCGGATGAAAACAATCGGATCTCGGAAGATCCTTTTATCTTGAGGGAACTTGGTCTCGGTCCGAACGACGCAGGAGCCGAGGGTTTCCTGCACAACAAATACACGTAAACTAGCCTCGGGGGGACGCCGAGGAAGGCCCCTCCGATGCTTAAGTCAGTATATTAGAGAGAGAAAGCTGTGCAAGAGTTTAGTTGCTTGAGGCTTTTTTGTCTTTGTCTTCGTCTTTGTCTTTGTCTTACCAAGAATTGACCAAATTGTTGGCTTTTATACCTTGGCTAATGAAGGAGGCGGATTGGGCCCGGAAATCAGTTGGGCTGGGCCAAGCTGATTGGGCCGTTGACTGACCTTGACATGGCTTTGAGGATGTTGATTTTTGACTTTAGCATATTTGGAGAGTTGAACCTTTGCCTTGGGCTTTTAATTGGATCATTCAGTGACCAGGCCCAATTGGACTAAATTGGACCCAAACAGTATATATAGAGAGATTTTGGTACAGAAAACCTAGAAAACTACCAATTAGGAGGCGTTTGGTTCAAACAATGGTATGGGTTTGGAATGAGGAATGAAACCTGGGTGGTATAGGGTTGGAACTTGATACTTGATTTCATGTGTTTGGTTTTTATGTAGGAATGATAGTTATTTTTTTTTAAGCCTACTCCGTTTAGTAATATGTTTACCTATTCTTAAGAAAACCTTAGATATTGTCGATATTTTTCTGTTTTTCAATTCCTATGATTAATTAATTAGGAGTTTAGGACTCTTATAAATTTACCTAATTCGATTTAAGGAAACTTTACATACTCCGTACTTTTGATATTTTTTATAGTACCTAATTCTAAGGAAACTTTACATATTTTAATACTGTACCTAATTCTAAGGAAACTTTGCATTTTTTTTATTTTTTTATTTTTTTTTTAAATACAAGATTAACAAAGTTAATTACTTGGGCACTTAGTTGCGACGCAAACTATAGTTATCATGTCAAGCTACACGTATGTATGATATACTTCCTCTTTTTTTTATTACTTGACCCGCTTTGACTTTTACACTATTCACCACCTCTTCTTTGACCGTCTTTTGTGAATAATATGTAAGGAAAAATATATTCATGTATGATCTTTTTAGATTCGTCTCAATAAGTACTATCATAATATATAACTTTTATAATTTTTACTTATGAAGAATTTAAGTTATTGATCGTTAAAGTTTTGCATTTGCAAGCGTGATAAAAGAAACAAATCAAGTAAAAAAGAACAGAGGAAGTATAATACAGTATATAATTATATAAAGATAACCTACCTAAAGATAGATGCGATTTTTCCCCCTTGGTACACCTATAATTTGACAAGAATAACTCTGGTACAAATTAAGTCTAATAATATCGATGATTCTCATGCAATTTAATGCAGGAATATTAATACAAGCAATAGGTACGAGTACTAAATATATAACATTTCTCTTAAGTTTTTACATCAAACCTTTTTTTTTAAAATTACCCTCTTTTGAACGTTTTTTCTTCACTTTGGGTTGTGGAAAGTATATTACAATGGATGAACGTGAACTAGTACATGATACAATTAATGTTGATGTGTTTTCAACCCCAAACTAAGCCCTTAGAGTGTATCCTCTTACCAACCTTATTTGCAACAATCACCCAATTAGACACCTTCTTAATCTCATTTTTCTTCTCTTCTATGGTGTCTAAACTTGGCTTCCAACTTTTTCCCGAGACTTGCCTACTAAGATAATCCGGTTTTTCAATCAAATCCAAACCCTCATCATCAAACTCGCCACCCTCTTCCATTTTCCAATCCTCAGAACCCAATACCTCTCTCTTAGATACCGCAGACTTACCATAGCTATCTTCAATATTAGTCATGGCAGGACAAATCTTAGCGAAAAGAGGGATGAATTTCGATGAAGAATTCAATGTTTTTGACCTAAGTATCGCGTTCACCCTAAGAAGAATATGATGAGCCTCTTGGGGAGACAAATGAGCTAGTTTACCTTTCCTTAGAGGAACCATAAGGTAAATTTTATCAACCTCTAGGGTTTTATCAGCTGGCAAAGGACTAGGCTTTTTTTGTGTTGTTGTTGATTTTAGATCAACCACCATTTGTTGTGGATACTCTAACATTAACTCAGCCACAGTTAAGGGCTTGTCAAATTCTTGGATCGAACCATCTAGAAGGATCACTTTTCCGGTCACCGGCGAACCATTAGACACTTGATTGCCCATTTTGGTGATGATCAATATATACACTAGTAACAAATCTAGAGTTTTGTTACAACTTTCTTTTGGGTTGTAATGAAAGCTTAGAGTACAATTTTTTTATAGAGTAGAATCATATATAGGAAAAATTGTAATGTATGTATAGTTTAATATGTAACATTAGATTTGTATTTAAGTAGAAATTGTAGGAAGGTGTTTGTTAAACCGCTCCATCTTTCAATAGATAGAAAAGGTGGACTTGGTAACAACTAAACAAATATTAACACTTTCGTATGACATGTTCATGGGGTTGTTGAACTGAGTCCAAGTCCAAATTTAATCTTTTTTTGGAATTGATGATGACATTTTCTGTTTAAGAGGACTTGTTAGATGGAATTTACTTCTTGTTCGATCGTAAGATTTTCTTTCACTTTCTTTATTAATTAAAACTTAAAGATAGGTTTAATCAATACTATGATTAACAAGCTGAACTACTTGTATTCGACAGTAAATGATGAAAATGTTAGAGTATGTTATAAAATCTCGTAATTAATAATATGTATGTCACATATCTTTTTCATAGTCCCCTTATATTCATCGTAAGGCTATATCGAGTATGTGATAATGTTTTAAGTATACATCTCTATGGTAAATTAATGGGTGGACATAGTGTCGATCAATACATAGGAAACATCTCTAAGGGATAATGATTCTCTAAAACTTGTTCAACCCCAAACGAAACTAACCTAACAAGGCGATAAACAACTACTTGGTATAAATTACTCGAGACCAAGACACAAAATTAAAAAGAAGTTGGCAACGGCCTTTGGAAGACGCAATCAAGGTCAAATGTGTTGGTTGGCTAATGTTTAACACTTGCTTAGTCCGATTGGATTAGGCCCATTATCTAACTTCATTATCCAAGGGCCCAGTTTGAGGAACATTTATGGGTCGTGTTATTATTTGCCTTTTTTGTTGACAAAAAGTTTCTAGATTTAGCTTAGGGTAGATTTTAGATACGAGTAGTAAGTTAAATGCAAGTTTCCAATATGGAAAAGTATTGTGTAGAACGGAATCACGTGAGTCCGATCATACAAAAAAAAAAATCAATTTATAAGCCTGGGGATGGGGATGGGGATGGGGATGGTGGTTGCTGGTTGCCGACAAGTGGCTAAGAAGTGTTAGTGGGGTGGGGATGAGTGTGTGCATTATAAACCGGATTCACGTGAAACGGTCTCACGCAAAACCTTCTCTTTGAACATTAATGATAAAATTAATATGGCTGAATTGAATAAATACAAGTATCACTCTAATTAATCAAGTAAACAAGCTGTTATTCAACTACATCTAAATTCTAAAACTTATGCTATTATGCCTATAAATCTTCACAATTGCCGATCATTGCAACACATTAGTACAAAATAAGACCAAATTTTTTGGAATTTATTTGATACGGCTCGTAACATCAATAACATACAATTAAAAATTTAAAATCATTAGTTCAATTAAACAAGTCCATATATACATCAATATATATTATGATCAAGAATCATTAATTAATTAAATTACGAAATTAACATCAATAACATACTATTAAAACTTCATAATTCCATTGTCCGAATTATAAACTACACAACAAAGAATCAAATTACACTAATATTTTACGTACTCAACATCCATTAGACTAATAATTCTAATACTTCAACTCATACTAATTAATATTATTAGGGTTTCCACTTTCTAGCACTCTTCCAAGATAGGCTCAAGAACAGGCTTCCAAGCATTGCATCTCCTTCTTGGCTCGACTACGACGATGCGCTGACTAGCCACACCGGAACCACCGGAACAAGGAAAAACCCTAGAACCGCCACGTGTCCTTCCACCACCCAATATATGATCACAAAAGGAACGTATCACAATCTCATTAATAAAATTTAGTTGCGCTTTAGACAAAATAGAGTTGACTTTGTCAACCGGCACTAGTATGTAAACTTTCCGAGCAAGTAACACGTCATCAGCTTTCAATGACCGGAGCTGGCGAGTTTGCCGTAGTTCTTCTATTGAAGAAACCGCGAAACCCGGGTGCTTAAGCATTATTTCAGCAGCTGTTGAAGGTTGGACTAGGATTATTTTTCCATGTGAATCAATTAATTTTGCCATGTTTTCTTTTTTTATTTCAAAACATGAACTCAAATTTCCCATTTTTTTTTATTTTTTTTTTTTTAGTATTTTGTGAAGATTCGATGTGAGAAAAGTGTTTTTCTCATCAAGGAATAATGAAATGAAATATAAATAGAACTAATAACAGTGTATGATAAGGTTAATCAATGGAAACATTATGATGTTATTGTATTAGGAAAGTAAAGAAACCAAATAACAGTAGGAAATTAAAAAAACTATACATAAATATAAAGATAAAAAAATAAAAAAGGAAACTACCAAAAAACGTTCTACAAGTTAAAATACTTTCCTAATAATGAAAACAAAATAAAATAAATTAACTTATTCCCTTGTGAGAAAAAAGTGAGAATATAAATCAAGCTTCGGTAACCCTATTAGACAAGAACTAATTTAGATTGGAGTTATATCAATAATCATAATATTAGTATCAGAATTTTATAATTTTTTCGCACATAAAAATAGAGATATGATCATTATAAGCTGTATCTTGAAAACCATAAAAAGTCAAATGGGCCAAAAAAAAAATAGAGACAAAAGGAGTAAATTATATTCCTTGTACAAAAAAAAACCTTTTCGTTTTTAATTTGGTGTTTACATAAGTATCAAAATTACTACTCCATCCGTTTCATAATATTAGTCCCATATACAATCAATCACATAAAATAAGAAAACAAATATATTTGAAATCTAACATTAAAGTACAACATAATTCATAATTAGTTTACCTTATTTAACTTTTTTGATTTTTATTATGAAAGCACAAGTCATAATTGCATAATTTAAGGTAAAAATTTCCTTACTTAGAGTCATGTCATCAAGCCACAATCAATTAATTCCAAAAAATTCAAGTTATAAATTAAATATATTTAGTATGGGTAGATCTTTTTGAAAAGCCCAAAATAGGTTATGGGACTAACATTATGAAACGGAGGGAATAAGTCAAAAATCAAAAATCACTAATAAGTACTTCCTCCGTTCTATTAATATTGCAACAATGGATTTTTTGCACTATTCGTCACTCTTGTTTGACCATATAATATGAGTTATACGTTAAGCAAAATATAGTCAAGTGGGATCTTGTTGGATTCGTCTCATAAAATACTTTTACAATATCAACTTTTTATAATTTTTACTCTTACACAATTACAGATATTTAGCATATAAAATGTGTTTTGGGATGCGTAATTTTCTCCTTGTTGCAATATTAACAGAACGGAAAAAGTATATTATTATCATTATAAGATGCGTCTTAAAAACCATAAAAAGTCAAATGGGCCCAAAAAAAAATATTAGAGACAAAAGGAGTAAATTGTATCCTTTGTACAAAAAAAAACCTTTTCGTTTTTAATTTGGTGTTTACATAAGTATCAAAATTACTAAGTCAAGAATCAAAAATCACTAAGTACTACTATTATATACTTGTACATTCTAAACTTAATTAGCACCCTTCTAAAATGGGTTCAAGAACAGGTTCCCAAACCTTACAAAATCTCTTTCTTTGACCGGTTAAACCGGTACACTTGCCACTCAAATCCTTCACCAAGTCCTCCAAACTTTGACCATCTAAACCATTATTAGCCTCCAAGTCAGGAGAAATCTTTGAACCGCCACGTGTCCTTCCACCTACTTTTCCATTACAAGAACAAACAATAGAGTCAATAGCAGCCATTTGCAAGTCAGTCAACCTTGAGTTGACTTTATCAACCGGCACTAGTAGGTAAACTTTCCGGCCAAGTAACACATCGTCTGCTCTCATCGCCGTTATACGACGTGTCTCCCGGAGTTCATCCACGGGAGCGATCGCGAAGCCGGGATGTTCAAGCATTAGTTCAGCAACCGTTGTAGGGAGGTTTACAAGTTTTAGTTGCCCTAGTGAATCTACTAACTTTGCCATATTTTTTGAGTTTGATGGATTTTGAACCTTATAACATGAACTCAAATTTCCCATTTTTTTTGTTTTTCCTAGAGAAATAAAAAAAGGTCAAATTATTTTGATGTTGGTAGTTTTTTTTTTTTGGTGTGTGAGATTTGAGAAAGAAAGACTCTATTTATATAAAGAAAATAAAATTGGTGTACAATATATATAATGTCAAAAGAGAGTGTAGTACGTGTGATTTAAGGGAAGAGTTCAAAAGTCAAAAGTAAAATGATTAAACGAGTATAAGTTGAATTGAAAATGTCTTTGTATTAAAAAATTGTGACGTGGAAGGAAATGTGTGATTAAACGTTTTAAGGGAAATTTCACGGGTTATTTCCTTTTGGTATTGGATCAAGATTATATATAATCATGAGTTAATTTCCTATGGTTGTCTTCATTTTGACTTTAGTCTCGTATGATGTGATCGTTTTCGAATGAAAAACATGTGTGAGATATCATACTCCAACAGTCCAACCCCCTCCTAGATCTACCGACCTAGTGAAATTGATCCGGTCCGACTTGAATGACTAAATCGGCTAGCTAATTTAGACTCGGGTATTGTTCTAAATACTCATCTCCCGGTCTGATACTAAATGCTTTTTACATTTTGACGGTGTACGTTTGTCAATATACTTCCTCCGTTCTGTTAATATTGCAACAAGGAGAAAATTACGCATCCCAATACACATTTTATATGCTAAATATCTATAATTGTGTAAAAGTAAAAATTATAATAAGTTGATATTATGAAAGTATTTTATGCGACGAATCCAACAAGATCCCACTTGACTATATTTTGCTTAACGTATAACTCATATTATATGGTCAAACAAGAGTGATGAATAGTGCAAAAAATCCATTGTTGCAATATTAATAGAACGGAGGAAGTATTACTTTTGATTATAAATATTTATATTTACATTTTTTT